TGTACTGCTATTTGTGTGATTTGTAATAGCTTTTAGGTTCCCTCGATGCGCAGTCCTAGATCTGACGAGAGGAAGAGCTAATATCCCACTTTGATGAGATATTGTGGGATATTAGGCTTCAGATTCTTGTTCCCTTTGAGAAACAAGAATTCTTATTACGACCTGACTCTCTTGTTGTGCTGCCGAAGTGCTGCCGAAATTTTCGCTGCGCACAACATAGATTCTGTTTGGGTTTCTGTTTGGATATAAATAGGGATACGATTTTCTAGGGTTTTAACAACAGAGATTTGAGAGATTCAGAGAGGCTATTGAGCATTGTGAGAGGGAGATATTGTGAGCAAGTTAAGAGCTTTGGTTGAGGGTTAGTTTGAGTGATTTTGTGTGATTGTAACCCTTTTGTACTCTCCTTGATTTTGAGGGTTAGTTTGAGTGATTTTGTGTGATTGTAACCCTTTTGTACTCTCCTTGATTTAGTGGAATCTCCCCATCCTCTCCCCGTGGACGTAGGCAAATTGCCGAACCATGTATATATCTGTGTTTGGTTGGATTTGTCATATTTGAATTGGATTGTGCTCGTGTGTGGTTCATCTTCTTCTCGTGATCTCAGACTCGTTCGGTGTGCGCATGCACGCTTCCGCATAGGCGCACGACAGTAATTGTAAACTACTATCGGTTCTCTATTTTCTTTTCAGCAATTACCTTTTTGATCAGGAGCAGATTTAGATGTAGAAGCTGGGGTGCAGTTACACCCCCATGAATTTACAGATTGAATGTAGCCTTTGTAATATTTACAATCTGCCCACTACAAATTTTAAAAATTACGTTGTAATTTATCTCAAAATACTAATCAAGTTAGTAGCAAATTGAATAAGCTCATTTAAACTACCCCGATGCATTCTCATCGGCTACTATAATTTTATAGTATTATGTTAATTTTAGGTAAATAGATACTTATTGTTTGTTATTCAATAATTTTTTTAAATCCACTACCGTTATCGATCCTCTTTTTTGTACTTTTTGTTCCTTGAACTTATAGCTATATGGTATATGACTTTAAAGAAAAAGTAGCTTGATAAAAAATACATTTATTTCTTATTATCCATATACACCAGCATACTGATGAAAATATGGATCGCCATAGATGCCCTTTAGTCCCCTGAAGACTTTCTATAGTTGTCAAGTGCTCCTCTAAAGATGTTGGCCAAGGAAAGGGTAAGTAGTAATCAATGAAGTGTTTCCATACCCGTTTTGTTATAGAACATGAAAAGAACAGATGGTCTCTTGATTCTGGTTCTAGCTGACAAAATAAACAATTAGTATCCTCATTCCAACCCTTTGATTGAAGAACCTCCTTGGTGTTCAGTCTATTATTTGTTAGAAGCCAAGTGAAGATACACACTTTTGAAGGAATGGTAGAGTTCCATATAACTTTGTAAATAGGGCTATCAATACCTCTCCAGTTTAGAAAATTATAAAATGATTTGACTGTATACATACTGTTGGAAGCAAGTAACCATTTGGGATGATCTGATATAGGGTGTACACGCGATAATTCGTTAAAAGATGCATGAGATGAACTTTGTCAGTTTGAGATGCATGAGATATACTTCTTCTCATCAACGGATGCCAAAACCAATCATTGTCTTGAAAATTCCCTTGGCTTTTAACAGAAACATTTAAGGAGAGAGCTAGCTTAAAGGATTCTGGGAAAAGACTTGCTAATTAAAGAATTGTTACCAGACCACTTATCCTCCCAAAATCTAACTTTATCTCCAGAACCAAGCCCCCATGATATGTTTTGAAAAAAAGTCTATGTATGAGATACGACAGTATTCCAGAAAGATGAATTGGAGGCATTGAAATGTCTGGTTTGAAGAAAAGAGCCTCCATTAACATAAAGTTTGTGTGGGAATTCACCAGTTTGGGAGTTTCTATCTAAACACTTCCATAACCATTTTGCTAGGAGAGAAGTGTTAAAAGAAGAACAATATCTGGTTTATATGATCGGGCAGATTTTGGGAGTGGTACTGAAGCGCAAAAGATATCAGTGAAGCTTAAAGAAGAGCCAATTTGTAGAAGTGTTTGAAGGTTACAAAGTGAAGAAGATGAAAACATATTTTGTGTGATATGTACAAACAATATTTTTGATATTTTTGGATCTTTGTTTTTATTAGGCTATAGAAACTATAATTTCCTGTTCCTATATGTATGGCTGGATTTGGTTCTTCTCTATATCTATATCAACGGTGAATGGCAGCAAGGCGTTCTCTTCATCTTCATGGATGTTTGGAAGAAGAAGGTCATACATCCCTAGTTTTGAGAAACTATATTTTCTATCTTCCAATCTTTGGATATAGTTCGTATCCTAATTTTGTATCTATACTTTTGATTAATATTAATGAACATGGTATATCCCTTGTTTTTCTCTCAAAAAAAAACTATATGGTATAGTGAGAGTTATAAGGTATATGTCAGGTACCTTTCTCTCTGATGATGACAGAGCTATGAATATATAGACAAAGCTACAAACAAACTGCTCAATTTGATGTCCACTTATGTGAAATACCTAACCTTAATTAAGTATATCTCAAGACATCAAAGAGGAAAATTTAAAAGAATATAGGCATTCCCCATCATGTCTTGAGGAAATTGGATGGTCTTTCCAATGATACAATGTACAATTATGAAATGTACTTGACTTAGCTAATGCTTAATTTAGCGCGTTATACTTTTTCTAATTCTGTACACGAGAATAATAATAGTTTGGTAGTAAAATAATAGATGTCTTTAAATATCGCATTCCTCTACTTGAAAAAATAAAAGTAAAAAATAAACACAACAGAGGGGTAAGGGGTTGTTGAGATTAGAATCTCTGCTCCGATTTCTATTTATTTCGGAGCCTTCGTAATGGTCCCACAATATGACTCAGATCTAACTATCTTTACGCTCCGACGATCTAGTTACGGTACAAACTTCAGTGGGCCTAAATGTCAGGGCCCAGGCTCCAACTCCGTATCCAAAAATATAAATGCATTGTCGCTTTACTTGGCACTCAATAATTCAAGAATCGTGCGTTTGCACCTTTGCACCCATCAAATGGGTGATGGTAGTTGCAGTGGTGGTGATATAGACTTGTCAACTTAAATCTCCACTTAATTATATAGGCTCTTTTCCTCAAGGATAATGACATTTTAGTAAAAAGATATGGGCCTTGAGTTTCTGTGAGCTGAATAAAGAATACAGAAGCGGCAGATGTTTGATTCTTCCTTTTAAGTCGAGTTGGTGAGAAACAGAGAAACGAGCGCGGAGATCTCTAAAAAGTGAATATCAATTAAAATTTGTGTCAGTTGTTGAGATTTATTTTTCTTCAAGTTGCAAGAGCCATGAGAGGTAAGAGATTACGGGAATCAATAAAGCATACTAAATAAGTACTCGCTAATAAGATTAATGGTTTAGATTGTTTCATCAATTATAAACAACTAGCATTTCTGCACGATGCACTTGCATGACATTTAGCAAAATAGATCTCTTTTTGGCCAACAGGCCAAAAAGAGGTCTATTTTGCAAAGCAGCTCAGAAAACATACGGGACTAGTAGTCCAGTATGTTTTAATCACGGATTAGTGAACTCAGAAATTTTCACAAAACATTGAGATGAACTCAGAAAACATATGTGACTAGTAGTCCCGTATGTTTTCTGAGTCACTAATCCGTGATTAAGTTGGCTCTAAACATACGTGACTAGTAGTCACGTATGTTTTCTGAGTCTTGTTTTTCAAAATCGACCTTTTTTTTCTTCAAAAGAGGTCTATTTTGCTAATTATTTAGCAAAACGGTCTATTTTGCTAAATAATTAGCAAAAACGGACTATTTTACAAATTTTCCCAATATATATAAACATGCTATACGGTATCTGTTGAGATGAGGGAGCTACAGATTTAGACAAATGAGCTATTATTTTAGAGTTTTATTTGCATTTTTTTAAAAAAATAAATCTTTAAACGTCCAAAATCTGAAAACCCAAGAGTTGTTTTTGGTTTTTTTTTTGTAACTCCTCTTAACCAGATTGGTATTAAAAGTTTCTTTGGCAACTCTTTGGTATGAAGTCAGTCGAAAGTGCAGCGCACTTAGATCTGTTTTTTTTTTCACCGCCAGCCAAATTTAGCGCACGCGAGTGGCACGTGACCTCCCGTGATGTAATTTTAAGGATGTTAGAGCGCTGATGTGGTTGTTTTTAGATGGTACGGGATGGTTTTAGATGACTAACAAGAAAGATTAGGCGAGAGTAAAACTAATCGTAAACTAGCCACGTCATCTAAAAACAATCATCTCAGCCTTCTAACAGCTCTAAAATTACACCACGTGAGGTCACCTGCTACTTTTACACTTGCAAAATTCGGTCGGCGGTGAAAAAACCGGTCCGTTAAGCTTCGGAGTGTAACAAACATAAAAGCTACTAATTTTAATATACATTCATTTCCCTTGCACAAAATATACAAAATCAAGCTCTTCTATAGCTGGTGAAAGTTGTGCAGGTCTCCACGTTCTCCCAAAACAACAACCAACAACAACAACAAAAAAAAAGCCCATGACCCTGCACTGACACCCAACACTTTGTCTTTTTTTTAAATTTTTTTTGTAATTTCTCCCTAATCATAATACACTCCTAATTAGCTTAATTAATCCCTTCAAAGTTTGGTTCTAGGAACAAGAGGCAAACAAAGCATCCTAACCACGTACCCCCCTCCCCTTTTATTTTATACACCAAGCTACCCTACCCTCCATCCATCACCACCACTTCTTTGTTCTTTCCTCCTCCCCCTTCTCCGTACTGGTCTCCCCTATTTAAAGCCCCCCCACAAAGACCATCGTCCCAATCACTAGCATCTTTTCCTCTCTTTCTCGTTATCCAGCAGACCCCGTCCACTCGACAGCTGATTAAGTTTTCTTAGTTAGCGCCTTAATTAATATCCCCTCGAATTCCTCTTAGTCTTGCTCAAGATGTGCAACCATAATCTCAAGCTATCAACCAAGGTTCCCAATGCCTTGCTCCACAACCTCAACCAAATGAACACGCCCGCCAACACAACCCCGAGCTCGCCAAAGAGGGCCCACTCTCCCAAAAGCCCTCCATCTCCGCCGTCAAATCTCCACCCCAAGGCCCACGACACCCACTTCCCGCTCAACTCGCCAAAGAAGCCCAGCCCGAAAAGAGCCCATAAGAAGCCCACCGGCGGCCCAAGGCCCATCTGCTCCACCTCCAAGCTTCGCAAAGAAGGTGGCGCCCAACGTGAAGAGGAGCCGGGGGTTCTGCAGGGCTTCGCATTAATGGCGAAGAGCTCGTCGGAGCCGCGGAAGGAGTTCAGGGAGTCCATGATGGAGATGATCAGGGAGAACGGCCTGATGACGGTGAAGGACCTCGAAGAACTGCTTGAGTGCTACTTGTGTTTGAATTCTAAGGAGTATCATAGAGTAATTATTGAGGTGTTCGAGGAGATTTGGTTTGATATCGTTGAGTTGAATGTGGAGTTTGGAGTTTAGAGGGGATCTACGTGTACTTGTACATTGTCTTGTAGTAAAATCAAGTTAATGTGACGACACTTGAGACTTTTTTCAAACTCTCCAAATTTTAGAAGGAGGTCCTACTCGACTCTTTTACTTTCAAAGGGCCTATTTGTCAAAAAAAAAAAAAAACAAAAATTTCTTCCTCTGAGGGTAAAAGAATCAAAAGAATTCACCCAAGAAATCTATCTGGAAAAAAAAATAAAGTTAGAGCTTCAGCGAGTTCAAAATGAGAAAATATCTAGTAAGAATGCTTCATGACAATAAATGTGCACCTGAGAAATATCAACCCGTTGATCACGAAACAAATCACGAAAGTACACAGAATCATGAAATTTAATGATCTAAAGGTTATATCCCTCCGTTGCAAATTTATTGCCATGCACCGTCCCCGCTAGATACTTTCTCATTCGAAATAGTGGGCTATTCTCAATTAGCCAATATAAAAAAATCTCTTTGCCAACCTTCAATGTAACCTCTACGCTCAGATGTGGTGGTATAAGCTGCAGAAAAGAGTTAGTTCCTGTGCAGTAACATGAATTATTTCAACTTTAAAATAATAGCAACAATTTCATTTAGCTCATATTACTGTACAGAAACTTGACCACATTTGCTACCTGAATAGCTTACCTCATGCATAAAAGCTTTCAGCTTGGGGCTGTTTGGATAGGTTTTTTTGGGTGGTAAAAAAGGAGAAAGCTGCCAAAAATGTCAGCTTTTTGGCAGCTTTCCCCTGGATAGGAGGTTCCTAATATGTTTTCTAATTTATTTTGGTAACAGGTTATTGGGATTTCTAATCTGTTTTGGTAACATGATTCCAAATCTGTTTTGGTAACATGTTATTAGGATTCCTAATCTGTTTTGTTTTTTGTTTTAGAATTCTTAGTATGTTTATGTTGTTGTTGGATAGGAGGTTCCTAATATGTTTTCTAATTTATTTTGGTAACAGGTTATTGGGATTTCTAATCTGTTTTGGTAACATGATTCCAAATCTGTTTTGGTAACATGTTATTAGGATTCCTAATCTGTTTTGTTTTTTGTTTTAGAATTCTTAGTATGTTTATGATTTTAGGATTTCTATATCTATGGAACAATTGGAAGAGAGAATTGAGAAGAAAATTAGGGATATTTGGAGCATAGAAAAGAGATATTTTCTGAGCTATTGGTTAGGGTTTTGTTTGGAGAGAATTAGAGATTTGTTGGTGAGATTAATTGGTGAGTTTGAGTGATTTGTAATCTCAGTTTGTACTCTTCTTCTCTATTAGTGAAAAACCCTATCCCCTTCTTGCCCCGTGGACGTAGGCAACTTGCCAAATCACGTTAAAAATTGGTTGTTTGTGTTTCTGGCATTGATTTGGTTCGTTTGGCCTTCTCTCGACGTTCATTTGATTTGATTTCTCGTAGCACGTTGGTTTGGTTGTTTGGCTTCTGTAGCACTTAACAAGTGGTATCAGAGCTCGGGTTACGCTTGGGCTATTTGGAGGAGTAGGTCGTTTTGGAGGCTCGCCTAGGGCTTCGTTTAGTGATAAAAGTAGGATCTTTTTGATAAAGACTCTATCTTTTTCAGTTTTGGATCTATTCTTCATTTGTTCTGCATTTGTTTTGGTGTTTTGAGAAAGATGGTCGGGAAAGAAGGAGTTGTGGAGGGTACTTCCGACGTGAAGATCGTCCAAAGTTTGAATATCCACTCTATGAAGATAGATGTGGAGAAATTTAATGTCACAAACAATTTTGGTCTTTGGAGATGTAAAGTCTTGGATGCGTTTAATGCGTAAAATTTGGAAGATACTTTGGAGTTGGACGCGAAATCGGACGACATTGAGGAGAATATTTGGTAAAAGATGAATAGAATAGCGTGTTGTGTGATTAGATCTTGTTTGACTCAAGATTTAAAATATGATGTGATCAATGAGACTTCGGCTAAGAAGATTTGGGAAATCCTAGAGGGCAGGTATTTGACCAAGAGTGTAGAGAACCGCTTGTAGTTGAAGAGGAGGCTTTATCATTTGCAATTGAAGAAGAGAACCTCCATTGGTGATCACATGAACCACTACACGAAGCTTCTTACAGATTTGGCGAATGTAGATGTGATGATTGAAAATGAGGACAATGCGTTGTTGTTGTTGAATTCCTTGCCTGACGAGGAATATGAGACTTTCGTTCTTACTCTTATTAATAGGAAGACATCTATTTCTTATAGTAAGGTCACCGCTGTACTTATGAATTATCAGCTTCAAAAGAAGGATAAGGAGACTTCAGTTGAGCTGGTAGCGGGAGCATTGGCCGCAAGAGCAAAGAGTTCAAACCGTGGTAGGAGGTCGCAGTCTAGAGGGGCACATCTTGGAGTTCGTAGGAATCAGTGTGCCTTTTGTAAAGAGGATGGACATTGGAAAGTTGAATGCTCAAAGTTGGTTGATCGAGCCGGGAAGAATAAGGGGAAAGCTATTCAAGCTTCAGAGGTGAATGTTGTCAAGGATAGTGGTAATAATTCAGATTCAGATTCTTTAGGCTACTTGTTATCTGTACTACCGTCAGTTTGTGTTGTCGACTCTACAGAGTGGATGTTGGATTCGGGTGCTTCTTACCATATTTGCCCTAGGAGGGATTGGTTCTCCAGCTTTCAGGAGTTGGAAAGAGGGGAGATCGTGTTCATGGGTAATGATCATGAATGTCCTATTGGTGGTATCGGTATCGTTCGGATTAGGATAAGTGACAGTGATTCGAGAGTTGGTTGGAGTGAGGTTAGTTCCTCAGTTGAAAAAGAACATCATTTCACTTGGAGTTTTAGAGGCAGCAGGCTATAGGGTGACCTTGGTCGATTCACGTTTGAAGGTCACATTGAGGTCCATGATTGTGATGAATGGCGTCAGGAGGAATAATTTATATTATTTGATTAGGAGCACGGTGTTTGATAGAGAGCTGATGACTTCTTTGGATTTGGCTAGACTGTGACATTTATTGAGGCTGGGTTATTTGATTGGTTATGCCGAGCATGGTTTGTTGAGGAGTGCTTTGACCTGCAGATTGAAGTCCTTTGAGCACATTGGTATGAGCAAGAAGAGCGAGGTGGAGTTTGGCACTTCTATCCATCGACCGATGGGTCTTTTAGGTGGTGTCCAGTCAGGCATTTGGGGGCCTTCCAAGGAGGCATCATTGGGAGGTAATCGGTATTTAGTTTCCGTAGTTAGGGATTGTTCTAGTCATTGGTGGGTTGCAACCAGGTCCCGTTGGTGTAAAGTCCTAGAAGTCAACAACATTTGGAAGAAGTGTATTGACCGAAAGGTAACCCGTCATTCTAGATTTGGTAGGGGTTCTTTCTTGCATTTGTACCGAGCTCATGACAGTTTGAGACACTTCATTGATGTGGAGACATTAAGGCGACGAGATGAGATAACAGTTTTGATGGGTCGTTCCTTACTAGAAGGGGATCGGCGTTGGTTGTCGAGTATTGGTTTTGGTTTTAGAGCTTCGATATATTTGGGTCATCTTGGTCATATGTTACCGACTGCTACGTGTGGAGATTTTGGATCTGGTGGAGCTGCTTCAGATTTTGGGTTGCGTCGGAATTTGGTTGCCCAATATTTGGTCACATCGAGGATGTGAGATTTGATCCGATTGCACGTTTAGGATTCAGAGATTTGTTTGATTATCAGTTAGGAGCTTCTGATTTTGTTCTGAGTAGGTATGTCACATTTGACTCTCGGCAGGTAGAGAGTGTTGATCAGATCATTGGGATATCGTAGCAGGTGAAGGGTGATGCTACTTCATATTGGATGGAGATTACTCTACATACTCCAGATCATACTGCATCGTTTGGGATTCTAGCTGAGGTGACACAGTTTGGAGATCATTTAGATTTAGATGCAGATGTTGAGTTGGTTTTGGATTCGAGTGCAGCTGGTGGACATGTTTTGGATATGGCCATTGGTTCACCTCAGGTGGAAGTGTTTGATTTGTTTCAGTTTGAGTCCATTGGGAGCACTATCAGTTGCAGATCCGTTGGTAATATTGGTGAAGAGTCGCAAACTTTTCTATTTGATTGAGGGTTTTTTAGGCCGTTTGGGTGAACTACATGAAGGCTTGATTCCATGGGCAAGAGGATACGTAGGTAGTCATTTATGATACAACCGGTTTGGTGAGTTGATACCGAAATTTGGAGTTTGTTCGCATTCTCGTTTGGGTTCTCGACTTGTTATGGATTGAGTCCGTTCTCGTGGATTTGTTCCACTTCGTATTGTACGCAACAAGTGAAACGTTTGGTTGGTATTGGTGTCGGCTCAGTTTTGGGAAAACTTCGTCAAAGTGGAGAATTGTTGGATAGCAGGTTCCTAATATGTTTCTTAATTTGTTTTGCTAACAGGTTATTGGGATTGCTAATTTGTTTTGGTAACATAATTCCAAATCTGTTTTGGTAATAGGTTATTAGGATTCCTAATCTGATTTGTTTTTTGTTTTATAATTCCTAGTATGTTTATGATTTTAGGATTTCTATATATATGGAACTATTGGAAGAGAGAATTGAGAAAAAATTGGGGATATTTGGAGCACAGAAAAGAGGTATTTTCTGAGTTATTGGTTAGGGTTTTGTTTAGAGAGAATTAGAGATTTGTTGATGAGATTAATTGGTGAGTTTGAGTGATTTGTAATCTCAGTTTGTACTCTTCTTCTATATTAGTGAAAAACCCTATCCCCTTCTTGCCCCGTGGACGTAGGCAACTTGTCGAACCACGATAAAATCGGTTGTTTGTGTTTGTGGCATTGATTTGGTTTGTTTGGCCTTCTCTCGACGTTCGTTTGATTTGATTTCTTGTAGCACGTTGGTTTGGTTGTTTGGCTTCCGCAATGCAAAACACTTAGTACCAAGCACAAAAAATTATGCTTGGTAGTGAGGTGTCATAATTCCCTTTACTTATTCAAATGATTGCATATCCTCATGCACTCCTCAGCCCATGTGAATGTGATCCCCTATTTGAATGAGT